ACCAGCAGTAAGTCTGGGTGGTAGCTCTAGCTAGGTTCACAACTATGAGCAATAAATTGAATTCCTGTCCTGTTCAATACCTGCACTCAAGTTCCACGTCATTACTTCCTTGCTCACAGAAAAGAACATCAGGTGTGAGAATCTGCAGTGTAAGTGGAGGATATCATCTCCCAAATATATGCTACCATTCACCTTAGGTATCAAAAAGGTAATGTTTTCTAAACATCACACCTAGTAATTTGTCACCATCTCCCCACTTAGCAGTCAGCTATTCACACGTTTTCGCCTCAGGTATGGCAGTGCCCATTTCTGCCAGAATGTAATTGCTTAAAAGATTCTTTTTACATCTTTCTTAAACGTTTAACATGTTGTTCTCAACTCTGTATAGCCACTGCTTTTAAGTGACACCAATAAACCTATCCAGCAGGTACTATATAAAACTTATCTAATTCATATTTGCAAGATGTCTTGAGATCCTGGCACAAAAAAACAACACTGAAACCCAGAGGTACTCTGTAACTTTCTTTTTAAATCAGTTTCCAGCAAGATTCCATGAGGCCTCTAGTTCTAGCTGTTTCAGCTATTTTTAACATTGCTACCATAAGAAACACACAAGAGGAAAAGTCAAAGGGGGCTCATTAATGCAGGTGAGAAGGGCCACAGAAATCTCACCAATTGTTCCGACGCACACAGAAACGCACAGCTAATGGATACGCAGTCACAATGCATAGACTTCGCTACATCAGTGACAGCTGTTCCTTAATCCTAACCCACACAGTTGCTGACCAGAGAGTGGCTCTTAAACCTGCCCATTTCTTCATGGACAGATCTTTTTCAGTGAAGTGGTGGAGGGCAGGTAAAGACCCCTGAGGGAAGATTCCAAAAAAAGCTAATCTTCTGCCAAACCCATTGCTCAGATGAGCTTGACTACACAGAGGAGCTGCAGATGAAAGACTGAGTCTAGCTGCCAGAGAACTACACAGAATGCTAGATGGATTTGACATTCACTTTACATGGTGCATACTTAGAGTCACTGTGCATTTGAGATTCAAATTTTGTCGGACAATCTGGATTTTTATTTGCTAAATCTGGCAACATTAGGCAAACGAAAATTAAGACAGTATATTTTTCATTGATAGAATGCCACCCTGCACCAAAGGAAAGTATGAGTGGGAAGATTTCAATAACTCACTTTTGTTTTAACCATCACTGGCACTGATGAAATGGCAATGGCTTCAAAGTGTAAAACAATGTTAAACAGGTGAAGGAAATGATACACTGCTATCAAGGGTTATGATGAGCCCTTAAAGATCTGCACAACAGAAACTAGGATGTTACATTAATCAGTCTCATAAATAATTTACAATGTAATTAAAATGTTGTGAATGTTGCGAACTACCTGCACACAGGAGTCTTACCGGGTAGTCACCCTGCCTGCGTAGTATCTGAACTGCAACCCACTATCCTTGCATGGCCAAGTAGAAAGCAATCCTTGAGTAAAGCAGATAGACACCTCCTCTCCATCCATTGTCTTCCACAGGAAACCTTAACATTGCCAAAGGTCTCCTTCAGTCGGTAGCACATGAGCCAACCATGTACTTATTGTTACACTAACACTTTGGGTTTCAGGGACAGCAACTTGGGAAAGGAAGCACACGATTGTAAACACCACTGCAGGACTCCTTTCGCTTACCACAGAACAGACTTTACCTAGGTGATAAGACGGCCAACTCCTATAGAAAATATTTTTTAAATGTTACTGTCCACCACTTCCAGTGGGGGCTCTTGCCAGAGAGGGGAAATGATTGCTTTAAAAAGTCTGCTTAAGCAGTATAAATACTTGACTGGAATTTTCTACATAAAAACACAAGCACAATTAGACCAGGTCTACAGGCTGCACTTACGTTGAAATCTGGGAATTATTGATGATGTGGGTTTCTGGAAAGAGCCATTCTAGAACTTTCAGACAAAATGACCTGTTTCCCAAATTGTTTGATCTGAATTATCCAAAATGTTGTGGCTCTAGGCACCTGACCTTTAAGGTTTAGCTGACTGAGGCTTTTAAAAACACCAGTTCTCAAAATTCTCTGCTAAAGAAATGAAGTCCTTGGTGAGATGTTACTTCTTTCTGTTATTGAGCATTTTTTGGACTATTGTCCAAAATCAGTCACTCAGTAGGGTCTATTTGCTCATTGGTTTTGTTGGAAGAGCTGCCCTGAGACATTAGCAAAGACCTTTGATTTACATCATCCAAGGGGAATTGTATAATTAAACCCTGCTTCTGGAAATTGCAGAATATAATCAGCTTTATCAATGAGGATATTGATTAGCTAATGTTTACTGGGCACTTTTGCTACATCCTGGCACTGTTTACTTGAAGGTACAGATCATCATTTCACACTTCTCAAAGCCTTGTAAGGTTTTATTTCCATCAAGTTTGAAGATAAGAACACACACTGCCCTAAATGGTGTGAATGCTGTTGGTGATCCAGCTGTAGGAAGAATCTACTGCTCACCACCTCCAAGCCCTGCCTCTGTCTGTGCACTAGACAACAGGGCAGAGATACCACCTTTCAGGTCCAACGTGGTATGGAGAACTGTCCTGTCTTCACCTATGACCACAGATTTTGGAGAACAGGAGTCTGGCAGACCAAAGGAAGGCCAGCAACTCTTTCTACTACACGAGCAAACCACAGACGGCCCTGACATTCCTGTGAATGCGTGTGCCACTATGGTTTGCATTAATATATTTGAGAAAAGGTTAAACAGACACACAGCAGGGCCTACAGAAGACAGAAAGCTGAAAATGTGCAGGGAGGGCTCTTCCTTTAAGGAAGAGGACATCAGGAGGTTAGTTAGATGCCAAGGGGGCAGCAGGCTGGGGTCTAGCTCTTCTGCCTTGTTCACCCAGGGACAACAGGACACACAGAGTACCTGCCAGTGGGGTGAGCCACACTCTTCCTGCAGGAGACCATAGCAGACAGGGCAGGAGCAGCAAGAGCATGGGGGTTTGTGCCTTCCTACCTATGACCTGCTCCTCTTTTGTCCTCTGCAGTAGTACAAAAAAAGACCTTTGAAAGTTTCACTGTATCTTAGATCTCTTGGTGAGGGAGTTTGAATAATGGGGCCATAGAACATCAAAGGCAGCCCTGGCAGGTAGGGGATGAAGGAGAAGCATCTCTAAAGCCCTAAAAAGTGAGGTTTCTAAGGCTGGAGACCATGCTACAGAGTGACTTTGAACCTGGGAGTTTCAACTTGCAGTCCCCAGATGAGAAGAGTTTGAGAGTAGTTTGTAAAAGAGTCGTGCTGTAAAAAAGTGGCCACCAGAACCAGCCTCCAGACAGCTGAAGACCACCCAGACTTTCTCCTTCCTTTGAAGACACAAGAGGATAAACATAGAGACCTTCTGGCCTGGACTGCTGACAATACGTACATATGTGTGAGTGCCCGGTCTACGTCCTGGAGAACAGCCTATGTATACATTGAGAGGATTTGTGAAGCTAAAATCCAATCCTCTGGGCATGGTAGTGCACCTGTAATCCTGGCTATTCAGGAGGCTGAGGCAGGAGGAACACAAGTTCAAGGCCAGCATGGGCAACTCGGTGAGACCATGTCTCAAAATGAAAAGCAAAAAGGGCTGGGGCTGCAGCTCTGTCTTCGAGCGCTCCTGGGTTCAATCCTCAGTACTTGTGCCCACCCCCACCCTCCAAGTCCCCCCAACCTTGTTCTTCACTCAAGAAAGCGTCACTTTAAAGGTCTTACAGTAATGATGATGATGATATACTTTAAAAATTAAAGCCTCTAGAGCTGAAGGGAAAGTAGAGAAGAAAAGTGTCCTCTTGGGCCAGGCTGAGCTCCAGCACAACCAAGACATTCAGGCAGTGCCTGCCACCCTGGCTCTTTCACCAATGTGCCTGCTTTTCCTGGAAAATAAGTCTTGTAGATCTGAAAACACCTTCCTTTGGATGCAGAGACTCTTGCGAGGTACTTATACTCTTTTTATGTTATTTGGCTGATAATTTTCCTCAAACAGCTCTAACAAGAAATGGGGCCTAAAGAGATTCTTTGGGGATGAACTTCGGAGAAAATGAGGGTGGTCGTGGCCTTTAGGGACAGGTATGACTGGGGACCTGCTGAGAAGGGACAGTAGGGCTGCCTGGGTCCCTGAGGGTTGCTTGTGACCTTAGAGGCCGGGCTCCCACATAGGCCAAGTGGACAGTGCTCCTTCTTCCCAGGTACCGGGCTTAGCTAGGACTGAGCAAAAACGAAATCACAAGCAAAACATCTTGAGCCTTTCAAGGGTAAAAAGCCACAGCACAGTGCCTGTTAGGGTTAATCCGCCTTTGCCAGCTGCCGGGGCTGTTCAAAATAACACAGAAATAAGTAAGAATGGGAGAAACGCAGGCTCCGGGTCAGAGCAGTGCACAGAATCTTGCGCCCTGACTAACTGGGTTCCTAGCTCCTGGAGCCCAGCAGAAAGAATTCGGTGTCTCAGGTGAGGATCTGGCTGTCACCGACCACCTGGCCACAGCCCAAAAGTAGGGACTCGGGAGTGCACATCGGACTAGGACCAGAGCCAGAGTCTGAGCTGCCGAACCCTCGCGGCACTGTCCTGCCTCATCATTCCACTCGGAGCCAGGACACACGCCCCAGTCCTAAGGCCAGGAGCGCCCTAGTAGCCTCAGGGCGGCCGCCACGCCTGACTCAGCCTCCTTGTGGCGAACCTCGGGTCTGGCCCCAGCCGCAAGGCTCCAGGGCTCTCGAGGACCGCGGTGTAGTCCGCGGTTCCAACGCACCGCCTTTACCGGGGCACAGGCTGAAGCAGGAAGGACACCCACCACCGCGCCTTCCGCGCGTCAGGAGCACCGGGGGCCGCGCACCTTCCTTGAGTCTGGATCTGGGTTCGCACTCCGCACCCAGGTTAGACCGGACTGGATTGGGGTCCACACTGGGAGCAACCCCATCTCCTCCTCACCCGCGCCCCGGGGGACTGTGAGTACCTGCCACGAGGAAGCACAGGACGACGAGTGCCCGGCTGCCCATGGTCCTGGAGCAGGCGGGCGGCGCGGGCTGCAGGCGGCGAGGTGAGGAGTACAAGGAGCGGCTGGCGCAGTCAGCAGCGTGAGCTCCAGCGCCGGGCGCACTCCTGCTCCATCCCCACCCGGAGCCGGAGCTGCCTCCGCCAAACCCCTCCTACCGGGCCTGGCGGTGACGGGGCCACCCCCTGGTCGTCCCTCCCTCCTTCCCTCCTGCTGCGCTCAGGTCCCAGGAACTCGGCCCAGGGCGGCCTCTGCTGGACAGTCCGCGGCGGAGACCTACTAGAAGCCGAGGCAGGAGCCCTGGAAGCACCTGGCTTGGGCTGGGAGCTGAGGGACCAGCAAGGGAACAGAGGAGTGATTTAGGGACGTCTCTGTGCTCCCCCCACGGAAACGGGAGCCTGGAGAGCAGAGTGACACCTCCTCTCCTCTGAGAACCGGGACCCCTACCCCTGCAGACCCTCCTGCGAGTGGCTAGGGCCCGGGGCCAGGGGCCAGGGCTGTGCTCTCTGTCACCAGCCCGCAGCTGGCTACTGTAGGGCGACTCCTGACCACGCGTCAGATATGAAAACATCAAGAAAAGTGCGAGTGGCTAGGGCCCGGGGCCAGGGGCCAGGGCTGTGCTCTCTGTCACCAGCCCGCAGCTGGTTACTGTAGGGCGACTCCTGACCACGCATCAGATATGAAAACATCAAGAAAAGGAAGAATTAAGGATTATTTTAATCTTACATCATTGCCTTTTCTCTTTTACTTTCCTTTTTAGTTTTATTTTAGGATTCCCTATTTTTAATGTTCATACAGAGATTTCTTCAACTGAAAGACCAAATAGTTTCTCTGGTGTGAAAAACTGTAATAGTACACAGGATCCTAATGAGATAATTAATAATGTGAAATAGGAAGTAAAGGGCGAAAGGTGTAGGGAAAGTGGGAAGGGTGGGGGAAAGGTAATAAGGGAGAGGAAAAAAATACGAGAAATTGAAAACATGGAAATAAAGTGTTTGTAAATGGGGAGGGGAGGAGGGGGTGAAGGGAGGGCAGGGACAAGGGGGAAAATGGGAACCAAGACCTGTCATGTAGAGGTGCGGGATACCAATAATGAATGTAACTGTACTGTATCCCTAAAATGTACCAATAAACTCAATAAAAAGAAAAAAGAAAGAAAGAAAGAAAAGGAAGGCACAGGAAAGGCAAATCCTGCGCTCCGAGTCTCAAAGCTGGTGGCGGGATTCCGTGCACCAGGCCCTGGGACACAGAGTGACTCTTCTAGCTGACTGCTGTGTACTTGCTACCCTAGGTGACTTGCTAGTGCTGACTATTTCTGTCTTTTACTTCCCACAGAAACCCTCCAGGTGGGCACATCTTCGGGGCAGGATGCTGTGGGGCCCAGTGAAGTCAATGTGTCTGACCTGTCCTATTCTCATCCAGGGGATGGAGACCAGAGGCACAGAGTCCCAAAGCCACCATTAAAAGGATCTTTGCTTAATTCCCTCCCCCTGCACTTGGGACTTCCTGAGTTGGCAGCCCCAGTAGAGCGGGAGTGTAGGCCTCTCTGTTTTTGGTGAGCAGGAGCCCCGTGTCCCCTAGGACTTAAGAAACACAAAGTCCTGTGGTGCCTGGTGCCTCTGGAGGACACCTTCCTTCGTATCTTCTTTCTCATCTAGCAGGGCTCCTCACATTCTCAGCGGGCAGGCCAGTTCCCGGGCTCCCCAGCACCACTTGCAGATTTTGCTTCAGTGCTCCACTTTCACCGGCTCCTTCTTGCACCTTGGTAAACGTATTGGTTCCTGTTGCAGCGAGGACCAGGGGAGACCACAGGCCAATGCCCACCTGCTTCATCCCCCTCCCAGTCTAAGAAACTGCAAGCACAGTTTGTTACACGTGTTCTCTGGATGCTCTTGACCTCCCGGTCCTTCTGGTTCCTGATGTAGTCTACGGGGGACATACGGAAGCGTCGTAATGGTGGGAGTAATGTGTTTTAAAGACCACTGCCCAGAGAAATCAGCTCTATTGAAGTTCAGCAGCACTGTAGTGGGGTCCCTCCAGAATGCAGGACATGTGGGGCTCTAGCTTGGGGAGCAAAAGTGACTGCTTGGTACTCAAAGGGGGTGAGCCCCACATTCTAATCAGTCAGAGCTCTAAGACTTCAGAGCTGAAATAATTTCTTTAATTAAAAACATTCAGGTTAATTGCTGATTAAAACATTTGAGCTTACTAATCCAGTCAAAGCATATGTAATCACGTTCCATGTGCCAGGCCTTCTGATTGGTGGTGGGACATAGTGGCTGTCACACCCAGGGTAGAGCAGGTGATGTTGCTGTCATGGGCCAGCCCGAGTTTCTGTGGCTTGAGCAGTGACAGTTTGCTTATCATCAAAGTCTTCTGTGGATCCTGGCTCCTCTCCAGGGTAGCTGTCCCCACTGTTTGGACTCTTGTCCCACCACTGGCTTCCACATTCCAAGAGGCAGGGAAGACAGCAGGGAAGGTTATGGCAGTAGTTGATCTTTTAGTCAGAAGTGATGCTTCTGGTTGTGTTTTATGGGTGAAAGCAAGTCAGCAGCCATATCTGACTTCAACAAATCGGGAAGCACAATCTCTCCATGTGCCCACTGGAAAGGAGAGAGGGTCAGGAGGAACAGGGCCATGTGTGCCACTGTGGGTACGAATCATCTCTACCCCTGGTGTCAGACAAGAGGTGAGCAATCTCAAAAGTATATGCAGTGACTTATTATGTTAAACATCATAAATAATAATAATATCCACTAGCATTCACTGAGCTTCTGCTATTTGTAGGAATCGTTCCAAGCATATAGCTGGGTCAAACACTCTTGTTTTGATCTTTATTTAAATGAACTTCTAGCGTTGTGGACTTGTAGTGTCTTACACAAAAATTGCCCTTGGCCAGCTTGGTTCTGATGTCCTGGATTAGTTCCACCCCACAGATACTGTTGGACAACAGATGTCGGTGGACATGAGGGGCTGTGTCTGGCTCTGCGAGTATCATCCTGGCCAAGGAAAGGTTAAAGTCTGGGAGCTGGAGAGGCAAGGCCGAGGGCAGCTGGAGGCTTCGTCCTAACCTTGTCTGTGCCATCTGCTGGCTGGCTGGCGACTGGCCTCAGCAGTCTGTGCAGGCGCTGTGCTACTCTGCTAGCAATGGTACGATGACACCAGAGACCCATTGTCTTAAACAACAGACTGTGAGGTCTCACATTTCAGAGGCTAAGGGTTCCAAGGCAGAAGCACTGGCCAGGTGGCTTCCAGGGTCCTCTTCCTCTCACCACCCTATCTTCATGGTCTCATTTACCCTTAAACACCTTCTTAATCCATTTATGCTAAAGATTGAAATTTTTGTTTGAATTTTGAATTCAGATATGTTACCTAGAAAAATTTAAGGAACACGAATTCAAAGAGAAAGTATTTCATTATGTTCCATAGCTATGGGTGTTCCAAAAGTGGATCACTCGGCAGTGAAGCATTTAAACCCTGTCTCCAAACATAGTCACACCAGGGGTAAAGACTTCAGCAAGTGAGTTTGTGATGTGTGTGGGGGATGAATTCCATCCAGCACATTCCACCCTCTGATCCTCACTCAAATCCATTCACATGCAAAATACACTCACCCCACTCCATAGACCCCCAAAGTCTTAACCCATTCCAACAGGAAGGGTAAGTTCAAGTCTCACTTAACTGTGCTTTAAATCAGGTCTGATGAGACTCCAGGTATAGTTCCTTCTCAGGGAAATTCTTTACCTGTGAAGTATGGAACAGACCCATCATGTGCTTCAGAAACACAGGAGACAGAACACATAGGATAGTTCACTCCTGGTGTTGTATGAGGATAAATTCGATCGGCCATATATGCTGAGGCTGGTAGAGGTCAGCCATTATTATAGAAGAGTTTGAGATACACTAACAGCATTCTAAGGTCCAAAATGCAAGGGGAAAATCTTATCCCCTGCAACGGTTGTTCTTGGCATCCACGGATATGCAACTTGGGCTCGCTCTGTCCTTAGCAATGCCACTCCGCTCTGTGATGGCTGAGCTGCAGTAGGAAGCCTTCACCTTCCTGTGACTGTCCCTCCCGGCTTGACCTCCACAGGCAGGA